GCTCACCACGGGGCTTATGGCGTGGTACCTGGCTAATTTTTTTAACGTGAACCCCACGGTTTGTGAGCCAAATCCTTCGCAATTTCGTGTATACAGACAGACAGACGGACAGATATTTAATATTGATTTTGCTTTGAATTTGTATAAATTAACTTTCAGTTTCATTAAGAAGACCATACCCTAAAATATATATACATACACGTTTGTCTTTCACGCGTACCAGTTGACTTGCATTCGGTGCAACATATCCAACCCAGAGATATTTCGCTGGTTCACAATGCATATGCCAACAACTAAAGATGCAACTGGAGTCTTTTGCGGCTGAGATTAAAATACATACTTTTCGTAAAACGTGGCCTCTTCAGAGCCTAATGCAGTTGCCAAGTAACCAGACAGATTTTCGTCTGAACAAAAGGGTTTGCTCGTGAATTTAAGCAGTGTGTATTTACCAGAGGTGGGACAAAGTAATTGTTATGCAAGTCCAAGTCGAGTCTGAAGTCATCAAATTCATGACTCGAGTCTGACTCGAGTCCAAGTCACATGACTCGAGTCCACACCTCAGAGGTGGGACAAAGTCATTGTTATGCAAGTCCAAGTCGAGTCTGAAGTCATCAAATTCATGACTCGAGTCTGACTCGAGTCCAAGTCACATGACTCGAGTCCACACCTCTGGTATTTACACACATTAGCATCGCCTACATTACAAAAAACCTGCTTACCGGGTGGACGGACCCAAGAGAAAAGTTATTCATGTCAACCTACTAGGGTGGTCGACATGTCTGGGTGGGCTGGGCTCATTTGAAAGCGGTTCCAATAGTCCTCGTGTTGCAATAAAAGAGATTATACTATTTCCACGAAAATGGCAATTGAACTCGATTTAAAATTGTGACAGCTGTAAAATATTGTGTTTCGATGTTTTGAATTTTAGGGTTTGCATTTTAGCAAATAAAAAAGACTTCTGACATGCAATCTGTATTTGATTGTCTGCAGACATGACTTACAAGTTATTTGCTGGCACAGTGGGATGATGTAATCATTGCTGTCAAGCCTTTGTCTGACTCAACAACACATGCATATTTCCTTTCAATAAAAACTACAATTACTACATTCTAGATCCTACGAGCATTTTATGTAGCCCCCAGAAACCAATTGACTTGGATTTTGGACTGCAAATCCCGTCATGTTCGTCACTTCTAATAACGAGGCAGACAAAACGCCTCCGTCTTTGTCTCACCACAAACATGCATTTTTATACAACAGGCACATCCTTCTGGAGTCACATATAAAGATGCACTTTCAGCATCATTGGTTTCATATAAGCCTCCAGGACTTCGATAATCTGCAATCAAAGCTTAATACCCTAAAACTGGTCCTCATTGATACATAGACCAAAGGAATTATATTCTCTGGCTGTCCCTAACCTGTATCACCACCACACTGTGCAATACAACCACTATTGTAACCGCTCTCAAATGAGCCGAGCCCACCCACGATTTCTCTAAGACGAAGGCACTTTGCAAGCCCACTGGCTATCAACAAAGATTCGTTCATGAAGCCATCCATATATATAGACACAGACACAATTTCAACCGAGAAGACGGGTACAAACTGAGCAATCATTGGAAGGACGTTATCAACCAGTTTAAATCATAACTGGCTATGATGTTCCCTTCCTACCATCTTCCGATTTAGTGCTTTATGCCCATTTTACAGGGTTCACACCAACACAGCCACTTCGCGCGCCAACTACCCCTCATTTGCGGCTCTGCGTTTGCCATTAACATGCTAATCTCTCATTAACATGCACATTTTCACCTGGCAGCCCTTTTATTGGTGGAAAACCAACCACCGTCGGGTTGGCTGCCCACCAATTGCATTAACATTGGCTGCTGACATTTGGGCTACGCCCGTTTCAAACCCTTTTAAACAGTTTGCCTTTGAAAGCTAACCCCCCTTTTCCTGAAGACGATCGCTTGTGTTGCGATCGAAACGTCGTAGTTTTTTGTTATTTTCTTTGAACCTATCTATATGACTTTACCGAAAGACCCAAATAATATGAGCCCACCCAAGGTATCAACTTGCTAATTGAGCAAGTTGATAACTTCAATCCTGTAAACGTTATCTTAGATTCGACTTTCTTTAAAAACCCACAATGATCACATGGTCGACTGGACATCAGTGAAAAAGAGCTTCATAGCTCATCAGATTCCTCAAGTATAAATAAAGATTCTGATTTAGAATAAGATCAACATTGAATTCCTCGACAGAAACACTGTACAGTATTGCACATCCACTCTGCCTGAGAATAGTTAAGCCACCATCCTGCCCATATTTCATTATTGTGACCCCATCTACCGCCTAGTTTCCGAATCTACCCTCGTGCTCTCCATTTGGCCCTATAGAACACATTGCAATCCCATGAGGGGCCGTCCATAAATGACGTCACGCGATTTTGGCCGATTTTTGACCCCTCCCCCTCTCCGTCACAGTTCATATGATCACTGTTTCATTGCTTTCATGGCTTTATTTTGGCGATTTCGAAAAGTGTATTGGTTTAGCCATGTTTGTTTGTTGTAGTACAGAGTTAGACTGATGGCTTTAATCTAAGTTTTCTTGTGGTTGTTGTTGGTTGTTTGACTTGCATCCCACTGGGATTTTTGCACACAGCGTTGGTGTACGGTGATTTTTTTCTGCAATATTTTGCTGTCTTTTCTTGGATTTTCTGTTTGCACTTAGTCACATATTCACTTTAAGATGTTTTTGTTCATGTTTTTGTTTTTTGTTTGTTGCGGTTGCACCCACATTCAAGAGCCGAATGGCTCACAGGGCTATACCTAATAAATGAACTTGAACTCTCGTCACACGGCATCACAAAAAGTCAGACCCCCTCATATATGACGTCACAAAGCTCTGTCCCCCCCTAAAACCGTATTTCCATTTTGAAAATACAACATGCTTCAAATCACTTTAAACTATTGTCATTGTAGTACGTATTTAATGTGGCGCTGCACTCTGATGTTGTGGGAGAAAACGTTTATTAAAAAGGAGGCATTGGAAAGCTGAAATTTTGCATAAAATTCACTTGAAAATATTCATTGTCTAACTAAAACTGCAGATGTTCAGAATATTATGTTGAAATTCTCTTATAATGATCAAATATTAAGTATAAAAATACGTGAAACTTCGTAGTAAAATGAGAGTACAAATATAATAATCACTGGTAGAATCATTAGAATAAAAATGTTTAATAACAATCATTCAACATTTTTACATAATGTATGCTTCTCCATTCTCCTATGGAGAAGCAAAATGGTCCTTCATGGAATAAAAAAACAATTGATTTTTTTTGCGTAAAATACTAAATCGTGCACACGATATACTGAATCGTGAGCGGTTAAAAATGTTTAAAATTTCCATTAAAGATCCTAATTGGTTAAATTCAGTCACTCATGGTTCATAGTAGGACAATGGCGAAAAGAAGCATGACGCCATTTGCTGGGTACAAAAAACTACAATTTCATGGAGGAATAATTAATCATGGAGAATGCGTTGGCTATTGTACACTTGCCAAATTATGTATATTTAGTTATTACTCCATAATTAATTATCCCTCCATGCTCAACAATGGCTGTTTGATATCTTTGTACCCAAAAAACTTTTCTCTATATATTATCATACATGTTATCGTAACATAATAATAGTATAAAAATGTAATACTGATATTAAACATTAATATTGAATAAACAAATGTGATTTAAAATTCTGTAAATTGATATATAAGTTTTTAAAATTATTATTCGAAACTATTAAGCGTTTTTAATATAACGACTGCATTAAAATTTTATTTGCACTTCCTCTTCCTGACGAAGTATTATTTTCTATAAGATTGTGACGTAGTTTGACTTCCGGTTCTTAAGTTTAACATAATATAATATGTTCTAAAAATAAAAGGTGACCTTAATAAATTGAAATAATCAAAAAGTTAACAATGAAAATTAATCAAAATTAGTGTTTACACTATGGGAACCTCATTTGCCAGTAAAAATATGATAATTGTTGCCAGATAGAAGGGTAAAACACCAATTATCAAAATAAGTGTTGTTATAACAATTCTATTTAATTAAGTAGAACGTGTTGTTTATATTTATTTGAAGTTGCGAATTTTGATGTGACGTCACATTTCTCAACCCCCCCTCCCCCCCTCGTCACACATCGTCACAAATGTCTGACCCCCCTACCCCCCCTAGGTGCGTGACGTCATTTATGGACGGCCCCTGAGCTCAAATCTGAACCCCCTGGATATCCTGAGATATCACCACTGGGCCGTCTTCATCCTAAAGGTCCCATTAAACAAATCTGACAATTACCTAAAGGACCACTTAGTTCATATAACTCCCTCCCGTAGCCTCAGAAGTGCTTCCTTATTCCTGTATATAAAAATTCCTTTCAGATTGTAAACACTCTGGAAACATATTTCGGCGCTACTGCTCCAGTCATCTATCGTTTGGTCCCCTCCATCCACTCTCCTTCTTTATCTGCCTATTCTACAAAAACGCAGGGCTGAACTTTCACCCGCACCCAACCTTTTTCTGGTGCCTCTTTCTCTCTTTGTTTTTGCTTGATAAGTTGACCCCGCTTTTACTGCTGCGCTCAACGCTGACCCCGCCTTGCATGGCCCCAGGGTCATTGGGGGCGGAGGGAGCCCGCCCATCCCCCCACTTCCCCCCCCACCCCTCACTTCCCCCCACCCCCACGTCCCACCACCCCCACCTACCCCCCTTCCCCCCACCCCTATTTCTCCCCCACCCCCACTTCCCCCCCCACCCCCACTTCCCCCCCTTCCCCCCCACGGCCCACCCATCTTCCCCCCACCCCTTCCCCCCCACCCACCTTCCACCTCCCCCCCACCCACCTCCCCCCACCCCTTCCCCTCCCCCCGCACAAGGGCGTGAGTTTGAACTTTACGACAGTTCCGTACACAGAGCGGTGCTGCCGTAAAGCGCGTGCGCATGCGCAGTTCGTCGCGGCGGGTGCTCTTTTGCTCCAGTCGGCGTCACCCGGTGTCCCGCGCCTCCTCCTCCACCTCGTCCACGTCGTCGTCCTCGTCGTCGTCCTCACTCCTCCACGTCTCTCCGCGTGTCCGCGACAGCGCAGCCGTGCACCGCGATGCCGCAGCCCAAGTACCGCAAGATCGCCGTGCTCGGCTACCGCTCCGTCGGTAAGAGGACGCGGCGTGGCGGGCGGGCAGCCTTGGCCTTGGCCTCGGGGCCCAGCGGCTCCGTTCCCCCGTGCCTCTCGCTCCCCGAGCAGAGCGAAGCGGCGCCTGAGTGCGACTGTGACCTTCCCCCCCGCCGCCCCGTCTTGCAGGAGGTGTGCGGCACGCACCGTGGGCACAGCCGTCGCCTGCTTGTGGGGGGGACACTGTCTGTGTCGTTCGGCGTGTCAGCGTGGCGTTGTGAAAATCCCACAGCGCTTTAGCGCGGCGATTGCAAATCCCACAGCGCATGGGCGCGGCGCGGGTCGCCGTAACCCACGGTGGGTTATCGAAGGGCTACGGGGTGTTTTAAAGTTTTTTTTAGACATTATCAGTGAGCGCATGAAGAAAGCGGGTTACCTGATTGCACATTCAGTGTAGTAATGTCTACAGAACTCAACGCAACATTTGTTTTGACTTTTTATTATTAATGGACTTGCAATTAACAGCGGTTGCCCTTTAGATTATTTCTCGCCTGTCTGCACCCAGCAATATGAGATGAGTTTATCACAGTCGATCAGTAAGTCGCGTGTAGTGGGCTAAACTCTCTCAAGGCGTCTTGGTCTGGGTAAAAGAGGACGCCAGATGCCCTTTGGAGCTTCAAATCACGGAGGAGGAGACCCCCTTCAGACGTGACGTGAGCAAGCAAATTGGCCAGTTTCAGGTTTACACTTTTCACTGAGAAACGAGGAACCAAAATGTAGCATGCTGTGGCTTAGGCCACCGTGCATTACTAAAATTCTACTTGGATCGAGAACCGGTTCCTGACTTTTAGTAATCATCTGAGAACAGTCACCGGTTTACCGTTTAACAACCCAGCTTAAGGCTTGGGGCAAGGAGCGTGTCTTTATCGCACAGCACTTAAGAGGCACTACCATTGTAAATCCTACAATGTATCTCGGTACGCTGAGGTATGGAGCATGAAGATATTTCTGGGATACAACACTTGACCATGCTGTGAGTAAATAATACAGCACTGCTATAGCAAATCACACTCGACATTGCCATGTCAAGACTACACGTAGGCCTCCTGTGTATATCATAACATATGCGTTATTATCATCTCAACTCGCAAAACCCATCCATCCAGTTCACCATGGAAGTGGAAGCTGCTCGGACGGGGTCGAAATTGTAAAATAACACACATCGTGTTTACCGAAAGAAAACGCATGCTGACGCCTATCTGAATGCAGAGTTACACCATCACCCTGCACAGAAATCTGCTCTTATCAAGACGCTCATTCATCGAGCTAAGAAAGTGTCATATGGTGACAGTCTGAGAAGTGAAATTCAACATGTTAAAGAAGCGCTGCAAATGAACGGTTACAATGATGCACAAATCAACAGGGCATTGAATGCCAAAACCAAATCAAATAACAAGCAAAGTACGTTGCCTCTGTAACCCCCCCTCCCACGTGGCGCAAGAGCGCAGAAGCGTAGTCACCACATCTACTCCTCTATATAAGGAACGAAACGGTTAGACTTCTCCACAAATCTGTCTATCGCCTGATGAAGCTGGTTGCAATTACTGGCGAAACGTCGTAATCGGATTGTAAATATTGCGGCTTTGCTCTCCAACACACCGGTGTGCTGTACTGGTGACGAATTGGCACGTTCTGTTTACGTGGCAACCCTTACTAGTTGGCTGTGTCGGGTGGTGGCGGGTTTTAACGACACATTTATATATTTACGTGATCTCACCCAAAAAACCTCTTATGGATGATATTGGTCGCGAAAGCCTATGTGTTAAACTATCTAACATACGTCTAACACGTATATTTGCTGATGTACCATATAGCACAACCGCACTGCCATTGTAAATCATACGGAACTTAGATATAATGCAATTTTACGTTGTACAGCCGCTTGCAAGTTGTATATCCTACTACACGTACGCATATCACAACACGCTGATATACGGTACTTTGTATACATGGTGTACATTTTAGAAGTACTGTATATATAGCCTGGACAAGTCTGTGTATCGTATGAAAAATAGGAATAGGTTTTACCCTTTCTGGCAAGAAAATAGGTGTTAAGATGTTCAAACACCAAACAAGTTCGCATTAACCACACTTGTGGTGAACATGCAAACAAACATGCTTTGTTAATATATGGCATTGTCTTTGAAACTGATTGGCCTACACCAGAGACAGACTTCTTTAGGGCCTAGTCTCACCAGTGTCAGACTAGAGAACGCCAAAAGGCAAACAGTACAATCAGATAATTTACAGTTGGGGGTGAGCAGCTTCAAAATGGGACCTTTTTTGCCAGTATCAAAAGTATGAAAAAATAAGAATAGGGTTTTCCTTTTCAGGCAATAAAACAGATGTGTTAAAATGTTCAAACACCAAATAGAAACCTTTTTGCAAGGAATCAAGTTCATACTTTGATACTGGCAAGAAAGGTCCCATTTTGTAGCTGTTCACCCCGAGCTATAAATTCGCTGATAGTGCATTGTCTTTGTGCTGTTTACGTGATCTAACCCAAAAACAACCTATATTATGGATTCTATTGGTTGCGAAAGCCTACGTGTTAAACAAATATCACAGACTGTTGGTGTTTTTATGTTTCGTTTGCACTGTCCGTGATGTACTGTCACGAAATGTACGATATCCTGAAAAATGATGTGCAGCACATCGTACATGGATGAAAGAAAAATTCCACTTGTTAAAAAGTCTACCTTCAAACCTCCCGACGCCCATCTAATTTCCATAGAGCACTGAAACAAGGGGTGCATGTTGAAAACACTTAAGCACAATGCCTTACACATTCCTGTAACAATGCTCTACTAAAATGGACTGACTTGATGGCACGTCTCTGAAATGTAAAATATATACCACCCATAACTGCAGCATACACGGTTGGCTAACATTGACACATGCACACGATCGTGCAGGGCACGTTACTGACAACGTGCCATGGACAGTGTTCTCCTGTACATGACCCAGTGGAGAGTGACCTCGCCCCCACCGAATCCTCCACTCTCTACTTGCATTCCTTCTCTGCACGTCTCCTCCGGTCCAGCAATGAAGCCCTTCTCTTCCATACCCCGAGCATTGAGTCAATGGAATTCGCTCCTCCTGTGTGGCTGCACTTGCTGTATGGGACGCCACCTCTCAAGGAGCTATAATAAAACTAAAGGGGACATGACAGAATGTCTGCAGACCAGGCAGACATCTTGTTCAGTTCACGACACCCGGAGTCGCATTTTACAGGTATGTGTGTGCAAAGCTAAGAGGGACTTGAATCTACGAGAACTCTGATAACTCTTTAAACCGTCTTTACTACTCTCTGACTGCCTTTACATCTCTTTGTAAGATTTATTTCTTTTTTTACTTTTGGGGTTTTAGAAGGGGTTTTTGTTGATAGTTACCAGCCGCTGATGGTCATCATATTGGACTTTTGAGTTATCCCTTGTGAGACAGCAGCTGTGAAACATACCTTCCCCGTCAGGCTGTGAAGATCTATATTTTTCACAGGTGAGCAATTACAATATGCTGCTGAAACGACAACCATCGCCTTCTTTAATTGCTCATGGCCAGCACAACTGAAGCAAGTTTCCCACTCCAAGGAATTTTTTTATAGAATGACGATAAATGGTCAGAAGTTTTACAGGATAGTCGAACGACTTCAATAATAACAGCCAATTGAAGTGGTTAAGATTACAGAAATGTGAAAACCAGCTAAGGTGTGGTTGTGGCATCTCTAATGGCCCAGTACCTCATTGGAACCTGTTAAGGGAGCAATTGCAATTTCCAGAATGATTTGATACCTAACCCTCATACTCACCTGACAATCACTATACCCTCACCAGATACTCACCTGAAACCAGACCCTCATCAGACACTAACAATATGTTTGCAATAATACGAGACCCTTCCATTTGTCACACTCACCAGACACCAGCAGGCACCTGACGACTACCAGACATTGAACACTCACCACTTATCACACACCAGATGTTCACCACTCGACACTACTCACAATACATAACTCACCTGACACTACTCATCATAGTCTCATCTGACACTTGACACTTACACGCAACTACCACTCCACCTACTTGACACCACTCACTAATCTCACGAACCACACGCGCTCACCACACTCAACTAAAACCAGAAGTGCATTGCTCAGACACTCACTCGCCTTAACTCAGTCTGATTAAAATCCCAACAAAGTTCTGGGATCGGCAAATGGGCATACTTCCAGAATGACATACAAATTAAACTGCTTATGAAGCAGTTTCATTTTTATAAGGGACTTTTGGAATAGCATTTGACCCATGCATGACATGTGACTTAGGCCAGAAAAACTGTCCCCACCACTTGCAGCAATGAGCGATTCCGTCACCTGCTGATTAAGTGCATTTTTGCATGTCGCAGACACTACCTATACAGCACTGCAGTGCCAGTGTTATGAACAGTAATGGATTTGTGGAGAGTATCTTGTGGAGAGTATCTGGCGAGTGCAAGTGGTAAATGTAAGTGTGTGATTTGCAGAGTGGTGAATGTGTAGTGTCGGACGAATATGAAGTCACCCCCTCCGTAAGATGGGTCATCCTATAGACGTGTCAGTGGGTATGTCTGTCATAGGATTGACTCGTGTAATTTTCATTGTACAGGGTACTGTGAGAACTTGGTTGACTGAAAAAAAAATTGACCTGTGATTTCTTAACTAGAGCGAATGTGCCCCCTACTGGACTTAGCACGCTATTATACCTTGTCAGTGCTTAAACACATTCCTGCGGAGGGAGCTGGTAGGAACGTTGGGTTGCTCGGTCAATGACCAGGGTCAGCGGCGGCGTGATGTATTCCGCAATTATTCCCGACTGAGGGCGAGCACAAGCCGGCGTGAGTAGGTGAAACGTTGAGTTTTATAAGGGCACCACGGGGTGACCAGCCCCTCCCCACCCCTCCCAGCCCCACCCTCCCCACCCAGCCCCTCCCCACCCTCGCCTCCCCACCCTCCCCTCTCCCCTCAGCCACATCCCTCCCATTTTTGGATACAGGACGGACGGACACAATAATCCCCTGTGGGCTGGTGTAACCAGGAGGTTCCTACCAGTAAGAGTACAATACAGTACTGTACATCAGCCAATTTGCATTACGGACCCTTGATTTGTTAATCATAAGTGAGTACTGTGTTGATTGTTTGGTTCCTGTGGCTCATGTTTGGCAAGTGTCTGGTGGGTAGTCAGTGAGAGGATTATCAGGTGAGTATTTGGAGATGGTCAGTTGGTTGGAAAATGAGAAAGTGAGAGGAAGTGAAGTGTTATGTGACTTTAGAGTATCTGCTGAGTATCAAGTGAGGGCATTGAGTCTTCTGAGGGGTGTGAGGTGAATTGTAATTATTCCTAGAGTGTTAAAGTCTGCTATCCAGTGAATGGTGGGTGGTAGGTGAGTGTTTATTGCGAGTCAATTATTTGATTATTTTCAGTACCTGTCTATGCTTGTAGGGGTATGCAGACATGTAATAGGGCTGATGAGAGGGTACACGACAAGTTATAGTATGTAGTAATAGAGGAAACCCATTCTATGCATGGACACATAATTTGTCAGACATGAAAGAGTGGTGTGTCTTGTGAGTTGGGTGACTGTTAGGCGAGTGGTGCATCTCTGGACAAAGAGCACTGTTGTATTTCATGCAGTTATGCCGCCTGTAAATTATTAAAATAAGCCTTGCATTGTTGACAGACATTTAATTTGTTATAAAACGAAATTGTTATTCTTCTGCGGTCATAGGTGAGTTCTGAGTGTGGTGAGTGAGTGAGTGCGAGTATTGAGCTCAGTGGTTCCTACTCGTTGCTCTAAGACTGGGTCTACTCTTATGTTAATAATTGATAAGAATACATTAGTGATTTGCATAGCCATCTTGACGTGTAAATGCATCCAGTCTGTTAGGAATAACTCTTCATTTTGCCTGACAAAGCACAATAATGGCATACAGCACTTCATTGTCACTGCAGAATGTTCCTTTATCAATTTAACTTTGACTGCAATCCTGTGAAAATCACTTTTTCTGAGTGTTAGGTGGTGTTTTGTCAATTCAATACAGATCATTAACTGAAGCATTGTCATGGTTAATTAGCACACCGTGTTTAATCTCTTCCCACATTGTTTAGCCATGCACAATTTAGTAATTATTTGCATGATACAGCCTTTAGTAGAAAATTGGCAGTGGTTGGCCTGTGGAGTGACTTTCCCCTGCCATATGATTGTAGAATTCCCACAACTGGCTCAAGACTGTAAACAGGAGTTAAGGACCACACCATGTTTATTTGAGTGTGAATTAACTTTTGAATGCTGCTATGTGATGGTGCCTCTATGATCATCCGATTAGCACGGTTGGCTACGTACGGTGCAAAAGAAGTTCAGCATACATACATAAAAAAAATGCAATCCTTATGATATCCCAGAAGTGTGGCTATTACTTTGTCAGGGGTTTGTATGCAAAACTTACAGTAAAAGCCTAGTTGTAAGCACCTCGGCTAATGTACTAGAATACACATTTTTCTGGACTGGAGCTGTTCATTTAAAAGTAAATTTTATCATGTAGGATAAAACCCTGTCGAAGTCAAACTAACCTTTCAAGAGAGCCTTTGCAGTTATGGGGAATGTCCGGCATACTGCTGTTATATTCCACGAATACATTATGTGCTGTAGAGAACAGTTTGACCGGACACACAAAGCACATTCTTTAAACGGTCACATTCTTAAAATATGTATTCTGCAAAAACAATAATGCTTTACTACTTCTCATGTTGTTTTGAAAACGTGTCCCTTCAGATGGTTGACCCACAGCTTCCCACTATTCATCAACATGCTTTTCACGTTTGCGGTAATTCTCACTGTGTTTTTGCTTATTTATTTGGTTTTCTCATGATATTTGAACTCTGCTTGTCCTACAGGAAAGTCATCTCTCACCATCCAGTTTGTCGAGGGTCAGTTTGTGGACTCCTATGACCCCACCATTGAAAACAGTAAGTATGTTAATACACTGCAAATAAACCTCTTTGTGATTTTTACGTGTAAAGTGTGTCAATGATCATTGCTTAGTAGATTACTTAAGGAGTCTTAATTTTATATAGGAACCATTCTGGACTCATTCTCACCTAAAGAATAATGAAAACTATGGCGCCCCCTGACTTTTCATTTTTGCCATAGAGATAAAGAAATGACTACATGTTTTCACAACATACCATCCACTGAAATGGACTCGCTGTTTGCACATCGTGATGCTGCCTATATGGCACTAGAGTGCAACGTATGCGACATACTAGTAGATTAGTAGTGCGCACCTGGTGAGTGTGATCGGTAGGTTCATGTGAGTGGTGACTTTCAGGCGAGTTTGTCTTGTGAAGATGAATGGTTAGTGGTGAGTGTCAGGCAAGTCTGATTTGGGTCAGGTGAGTGGCAAATGTACGATGTTTGGTTCAAAGTTCAAAGTTCATTTATTAGGTATAGCCCTGTGAGCCATTCGGCTCTTGAATCGGGTGCAACTGCAACAAACAAAAACGTGAACAAGAAAACATCTTAAAGTGACTATGTGCAAACGGAAAATCCAAGAAAAGACAGCTAAATATTGCAGAGAAAAATCACTGTACACCAACCCTGTGCAAATATCCCAGTGGGATGCAAGTCAAACTACAACAACCACAAGACAACTTAGATTAAGGCCATCAGGGTTGTACTACAATAAACAAACATGGCCAAACCAAAAAACTTTCCGAAAATCACCAAAATAAAGCCATAAAAGCAACGAAACAGTGGTCATAGGAACATACAGAGGTGAGCGCCTTGGGAGTGGTGTGACGTGAGTTGTCAGGTGTGGGGTTAATGTTGGGTGATTGTTGAGTGTAAGTGTAATGTGAGTGGCAATTGTGGTGATTGTTTTGTGTCAAAATGGTCGATAAAGGCTTCGCCTCTTACCCAAATCCATTTTCCACCTCAGCTCATCCTGTTTTGATAACTTCAACGTAGTAAAGTTTGGCTTCCCCATTGGCGGTCCGAAATAAATAAACTGTCTTGTTGTTTTTGTTCTTATTTGTTTGAATCACCTAAGGGATTGGCTTAGAAAAAGCAAAATAGGCAAATACAATAATAGTTTAATTGCCCAAAGCTCTGGTTTATTCCATATGTTTGATAATGTAATTATGAAAAGTGGTAAATCAATACTTTGTGGTTCTTTTGGTAAAGTCACGTAGGTAAAAAAAAAAAAATAATATAGTAAATCAAGTTAAAATAATGCTACTCTTTTACCAGTGTTGAATGAGCAGTCCAATCTTAAGGAATACACTTTTATTTCATTTGTATGTTTGCTAAAGAATGGCAATTCTCCCGTAAAAGTACACGAATATTTTATAAACACACAGCACCAACTTGAAAAAGGAATTTTCTATTGTAGCCCCAATGCTACGTTTACTGTAAATCACATTCGACAAGGGAGTTTGTACAATTTAACAACCAATTTAAGCACTAAAACAGGGGGGCTTGACCTTACTGAACAGAACATTTTAGATGCTCTTATTTCATCTCGCCCACAGATCACCCGGAATGTGGTGTTGCTACACTGCCTACTGGCTTTATTAAATTTGTTTTTGTTTAGAAAACTCCCTCTTTCTTTACAGCATTCACGAAGAATCTCACTGTGAATGGACAGGAGTTTAACCTCAAACTGGTGGACACGGCTGGTCAGGTGAGAATGTAGTATCAGATTCATTAGCCCATTTGTTGTATTCATAACTTTTAATCAAATGTTATTATATTATAATTATATTGCAGTTGGCGACTGGATGTAGAAGTGTGACAAGACCACATCGGATCTGGTGTGGCTCTATTATATACAGCAGGCCAGCCATCTCATAAGTGTGTAGTGACATCGCGGATGTCACTGTGTAATGCCGGCCCTAGAGAGGCACGGCGTGCGATGTACAGACATTGCGGACACCACTTGGATGTGGGTGCAGTACTGGCCCTAGAGGGGCTCTGTGAGCGCTTACTGACAGTGCTGGATAGCACCACGCTGTGCGTGCAGTACTGACCCCTACAGGATAGGGTGTGAGAGTGCCAGCCACGGGAATGGGGTTACTTTCGGCCGTGGCACTCTGGTTGACCCCAGAGGACACGTGACCGTTTAAGTCTACACAGGGCCCCCAAGTGGGGGCTAGGGGTGGTCACGTGTCAGGGTCGAGATCCTGCTCGAGGATTCTAGAAGGTGGTCATGGCCAAGGGCGGAGCCAGCCACGCCACAGAGGATATAAGCCGGGTCCCCGAGAGGGACCGTCTGCTGTTGTTCATCCTGAAGAATCTACGTTCTACGTACTCAGAGTCTCCAACACGTGGACCGGGACCCAAGCTGTGGTCCGGTCTGTTGTAGCTAGTTACGGTGTAATTAGTGCAGTTAGCCTGGTGGTCACCACCATAGGTTGTTATAGTGTTAAGGGGCAGTTACCCCTTGTGTTGGTATTGATAAATGTGTTGCCTCCAAGAGTACGTCTGTGACTCAGTTGAATCCACTACAAGTGTATTAAGCCTTTAAGGTATGGGATTTCCTTGCAACACAGCTGTGAAGTAATACCAGTAATATGGTAACAGAATACAAGATGGTTAAGCAAGCACATAATTAGAAAGAGTGTTTCTGAAATTCAAGCAAGAAAAGTGGACTGCATAAGTGAACAATGGTCACTATATTGTTTGTGTTTCCATTTTCTTATGGTCCATCTGTCTCCTATATTGTTAAATTTGGTTTAGTTTGTATTCGTTCTTGTCATTTATATTTCCCCTATTGTTGTTTCTTAATTGTTTTATTTGTGTCATCAAAACTGTTTGGTATGATTAGTCTCATTTGTTCCATCTTGTATGTCAGTCGTTTTGATGTATTTTCTCTCCTGTTCTCTATGTTTTCTTGTTTGTGTAGAGAGGTTCCGGACGACTCTGAGACAAGGGTTAAGGATTAAGGGCTTGCGCCGTAGGTTTATTAGATATAACTCCAAGAACATACAGGGGTGAACAACTTCCCAGGGGTTAGGGGTCCTGGGTTAGGTCCTACTAGTTCCTGTCACAGCCGGCTGCCCTGTGCTGCCTCCTCTGCGCCGGCCGTGGGTTCAGCCAACACGGCCGACCGAGGAGCACAGCCACGTCCAGCCCTGGCGCTGTGCTATATCCACTATCCCTACCCCCTTGCCCCCTGGCTCTCCGTTCCACCCTCTTCCGACCCTAGACTCCAGCTACGACCCCGCTTACGTCACGGGGTCCCCTTTTTGTACTAGAGGAGTTTTGACGTCATTGTGCCGCCCAGCGCGCATGACGTCACGTCCCATGACGTCATCGCACTGGACAGTCCACATGACGCCACTTCCCTATTTTACTCTCTACATTTGTATTATCCATTTCTTTCGTTCAATTTGGTTTAATCGGCTTTTGTTTGTATCATCTGCCCATTTGTTCTTGTCTTTGTACTATTTATATCATATTGTTTTGTTTGTCTCTTGGAGAGAGGCTGTATGGAGAGGGATGGGGTGTGGACAAACATATCATGGGATGGCGTTCAGGAAAGTAATTTAAGAAAGAGGAAAGGTGGAGAACGGGAGATATGGTACCATAGCATGTACAGTTTATATCAGCGGCCATTATATATCCAGTGCTGGATGAAGGCCTCTCCATCGTCGCATTCCATCTCACTCTTGCAACTGAGCTCATCTCCATGCTGGTTGTCCTGTGGGGGGGGGGGTTCTGTTTGCTAACCATTCCATTGTCTCAAACATCACCAATGGTCCCTTCTAACAATGTCCTTAGGTCATTATGATGCTCTCAAAATATATATAATCAACATAAATATTTAATTCTAAAACGCAGGATTCTAAGCATGTATTGCGTGTTATTTTTTATGCTGTTCAATTTAAACATGTGTGGTGTCCATCTTGCAAATTACCAAGAGATCAATGGGGTTGTCGAAAAATGTACATTAACTATCAACTCCCCTGTGCATTATTCTTACTCCTTACCAGTTTGTAACATATTCGTTCAAAATAGGGTTGGTTTTTTTGAAATTGGTAATTTACAAATTCTACATATGTGGCCCGAGATGATATCTACATTGATGCTACTGCTCTGTTTTTCACAATGTTATTTGTTCTGCCTTTAATGTGAAAATTTCCAACCAGGATGAGTACTCCATGTTCCCTCAAACCTACTCCATGGACATTCACGGCTACGTGCTGGTCTACTCTGTGACGTCCATCAAGAGGTGAGGAGGCCGCACACGATCCTCACGCACTCATTACACACAAAATGCTTGCCACGAATGAACCACAATACCTTACTGATCTCGCCAAGGAGCATAAACCATCACGCAAATTCCGGTCACCCTCACAGCAGTGGCTTTTGGCACTGCGCGCGAGCAGATGCGCTTCTACAACCGTCTGGAACGCTCTTCCCATATTAAGAAGCCACTGGAGCTATGCACTTTTAAATTTAGATTGAAAACTAATTTCTTTAAGTTCTTTTTGTGCTTAGTTTGTTGTCCTTCCCCACACCTATGATTAGCATGGTTGACTACGTACGGTGCAAAATAACTTCAAATACATACACATTGACATGTGTGGTCCACTTACACTGTAAGGGCAACGGCCACCAGTCTTTGGATTAAATTTATGTACGTGTTATCTTTTGTTCTTGCAAACAAATTCCTTTCCACCTTGTGTAAACCTGCATGATCTTTGCACTGGAAGAATACTATAATAATTAGATTTATTACAATGTATTGCATATTAATAGTGGAATGTTATTCCTAATACTGCTCAGAGCCAGCGGGACATGGAAAACATCTTCGGTGAGATATGCGATTATGTTTGCAGTGGTGGTTGCGTGCTGTCCCTTTGTTATTGTAGTTTTGAGGTGGTGAGGGTGATCCATGACAAGCTGCTGGATATGGTTGGGAAAGTGCAGTGAGTACAAATCTTTTTTACTATTATAACTGCTTGTTTACTGAGTATTTCTCACTTTTACTAAACACATTATGAGTGGAGACATATGCGCGAAGAGTGTGGTGTAGAACAAGATAATTACAATTGAACGGAGATGCTTTGCACATTGCTGTATAACACAATTTCATAAGAAAAAAGCACTCTAAAGTTATTCATGTCTTCAGATGGGCAGACTTATATACTACTTTACATTATAACTCGAAGCGCATAGGGCATCTTTTACAAAGTTGAGTGCACATGGCTGCAAAAATCCCAATTGAGTTATTTGCAGGTAATTTTTGGAATTTGGAAAATTTGGACCATGTTGTCGAAACACATTGGCCAACTCCTGTAGATGACATAGGATCTTTTATATCCACTGTGAAGCAGACAGTGCGCATATTTTATGGTTAATACACCCGAATTATTAATCAGAGCGTCTGCTGAATACACACCCTGAACCTCTGCAACAAGCGATGAATGTATTACGCTAGGCCATGTCATGTGAAGCAGCAGGGATATACGCCCAGGATGCATTCCTGAAAACCAGAATGTAAATTTTAAGTACTTAAATCGAAGCAAAGAGATTGGATGGTGGATTGTAACTTGGTATAGTACCTAAACAGAGGATACTCAGTAACCCATTGCACATCTATAGTCCACAACCATCGGTGTGAAAAATAAATGTGTATTATTCATATATTAAGATAATATTATACTATGTATCATTTGTTGTGTTTATCATATGACATAGATTACGATAGTCAGGAACGTAACGTTTCGGCGCCATCTGGCACATGCACGTCGCCGTGTTGACTAAAAAATGCTGGTCTTAACGGTAAATCTTCGTAAATCTCGAGTAGGGTATGGCGAGGTACCACAGTACGTAAATTGGGTATCAATAAGTTGGGTACGTTATACAAAAAGTACTTGAAACAGCCGGGCGTAAATCGGGGTATTATTGCAGTTTAAAATTCCGTTCATATTGCAAACCTGAAAAGAGAAGCAACTACTTACTGATACAGCTAAGTTGGTCAAATCTGTGCCAAATAAAAGCACCCTCATGAAATGTTTCTCTCCCTGGAATAAACTAGCAAATGTGGTGAAAAACATTGAAAGACTATATTTAAACGTTAAGTGTAAGTTGTGGCATATTTAATGTTTATTTGCAGAGGGTTTAATAATTGTGTGGGTTTTTGTGAATTAAGCTCCTCACTACATGTGATTGCTGTGTTCTTAATTAGATCTGGTCTGGTTTCCTCCTTAACTGGTATCAGTAGTGTTTGGATTAGTGTATGTAACTGTGTGCACACACTTGCATCATAATTGTGGCTAATTTAGGCCTGTGATGTTTATTGTAATAGTGTGCCCCTGGTGTTGGTGGGGAATAAGAAAGACCTGCATATGGAGAGGCAAGTTACACACACACTACCATCGGTTTGCATGGGACACGAATTCTGTTCTCATCGAAGTCTCGATTGATCCCTATTTTAGTCTAGATTTGAAGCTTTCGTGACTGCAAGGATTCATACTCTTAGGTTTTTTTCAGTAAAGTGACTTTACCGAAAAAACCTAAGAGTATGAATCCTTATTTTATGTTCCCCTCGTCACATTCATGCATTTTTTCTTTATTCTAAACAGAGTGATCAGTTGTGAGGAAGGCAAAACTCTGGCGACCTCATGGAATGCAGCTTTTATGGAGTCCACTGCTAAAGAGCATCAGGTTAGTGGTGGAACCCATCGTCCTTTTACATTTTCCCGAGTGTTTAGGCCTTGCAATCCCATTATAATTTGTAAGCCCTGACTTTTTTCAGCAGTAAGAGAAAACTAAATAGAAAAACTAAATATTTTAATATGTTTCTTCTGAATAAACATTTGTATCTGAAAATAAAAATGATGAAATTCGAACATGGGCAGAATTTGTTTTAAAAACAATTGAGAGCAGACATGCTTTAACCATAATCAACGTTTTTGGGTTTAGATCGCGTTATTTATAAATGTGTCGTAACCCTCCACCACCCGACACGGCCAATCAGTAAAAAAGTGTCACGTTGACAAAAGACAAATAGTTCACTGCTTTAGCCCACCGGTGTGTTGAAGCCACAACATTTACAATTCAACACACCGGTGTGGCTAAAGCCGTGAACTATTTGTCTTTTGTCAACGTGACACTTTTTTACGGATTGGCCGTGTCGGGTGGTGGAGGGTTACGACACATTTATAAATAACGCGATCTAAACCCAAAAACGTTGATTATGAATAACATTGGTCGCGAAAGCCTACGTGTTAAAATGCTTTAACCAATAATAATTTCACGTGACATTGGCCATGGGCAATGGATGGCTTTGCCATTTGCGGTGGGGGGGGGGAGATGATAATTCATTGCGATGTTTAAGCAAGTTATGATTTGTTCACTTGTACTCGTGCAGACGGTGGTGGAGGTGTTTAAGTGGATGATCCAGGAGATTGAGCGGGCAGATGGCAGTGCTCACCCAGAAAAGACCTCCTGCTTCCTCATGTGATGAACTACTGCACCTGTCCCTCCTGCCAATTAGTTACAATGCTTTGGCTAATTGTATGTTATGTTCATTCATTTGATCTTTGCTTTGTGCCCACATAGAGAAGTTTGCATTGAGAAGTTGTCTTGAATTATGGGTGTGTGCTGTGTGACTCTCAGGTGCAGTTCTCTACTCTAGAATTATATCTAGTAATGCTAACGTTGTGCCTTTGAAATTGCTAAACGAGATCCACTCCTTTTTTCAGTGGTACATCCCAAAGGGTCTGCATACTCTTTGTTGGGCCCCTTGCATGCTGTGCACTCACCACCATGGCCAGTGAAAATCTGCAGAAACATGTAGCCTCATTTCAGATTTCCTAAAGCTTTTGGAGTAATTTTTGAATTTAAGCAATAAATAACTATGCGTGTGCGGTTTACATGAAATGTACAAAGGTGCTCTTTCTTATAGCAAATAATGAATGTTTCGTGAAGAAAATATAACATTTTCCAGGATTCCTATAGCCCTGCTGGTCACACAGACGTTTCCCACGGATGGCTTGTCTGTTTCACCTTTAGGTGAATAGAACTGTTTGCCTTATTTGAAAACTGTCTTTTCAAGAAGCATTTTGACCTGTTGGTTTCATATTGTGTCACAATTGAGTTTGGATACTGCTAAGAAATAAATTATTCGCCCTTCATTGTAGACAATGACATGCATTGTGTTGCTCTGCCGAGATTCATTTAACTAATCTTATTAACTACATCATAATCCCCTTCTTTACCAGACATTTGTGTAGCGTGTAAAGTTGTACATGACTTCCGTCCAGTGAGAATACTGCTCGGATGGTAGTGCAGGTTTCGTCTTGTGATAAGATTTGACTTCAGAAATTATGCTGTGATGAAAATGCCTTAACATGTTGGTTTTGAAAAAGGCGTGATGCATTGCAGCTCTTGCTTATGCTTGCTTTAGTTGATGGACATGCAGAGCAATCGAGCACGAGAGCGTTGGGCATCTTTTGTTTTAAACATGGTTCTAACATTACTTTCTGAACAAATGCGCTTCGTGAGATGTGATGCTGCACATTTGAATTCTGATGTATGATCAGTGTATGCAGAGCTTTGTGCTTTGGTTATGGAATTTATGGAGATAAACCATCATGCACTTCTACATCGGCATGAACACAGACGTTGAAAAAATATATTTTTAGACGTGTATAATGAATATACATGTGTATTGTGTATAATTCCAATATATCCTGAAAATAATATATGTGTGTGTCACATGTATGCTTATAGTATGTTCATTTAGTACATAGGCCCAAACACATTTTTTTTTATCATATGCAGGTTAGCTAGTGGCAAGCCTGGGGACAGCATTTTTACATCACTTTTTCGAAATGTCTATACCTTTTTCAGATGTATTTAAAAAGAGGGAAATGAACATTAATTATACAATAAAACAACATACTGTATGGTTAACAATTTATTGTAAATAAATGTTATCATATTTCTGCATTCCGTTGTATTTATTTTTTACAATCAGTGGGCTGGGATCATTGCTTAATAAGTATTCTGTACACTATATCATTGGCACTGCATGAAATGAATTGAATAGGTTTATATGATTGTGATAAAGCGTTTTCTATTTCCATTGTCCATGGCACCTCGAGCTTGCGAGCTGTGACTGGCGGCAAAAATAGCATTGTCGCAGTGCTTGAGGGCCATTGCTTTGTTTCTGAATGGAGAACAGCACCGATCTAGCTGGTGGAGTTCGAAGGAGCCTGATGACGAGTCTTTAGACCTCACTTTTAGAAGCATCATCTTTGAGATATTTGTCCAATTATCGAATACTTTTCATAGGAGGAAACCAGAATCCCCTGAAAAACACTACTACAGATACAAGTGCAACTGTTTTAACCCTGCTAATGTAGGGACAATATGACAGATGAAGCAAATGCTAAAAAAATCTATTTACATGATAAGAATCGCATGACTCGTGCTAAATGGATAACATTAATGCTTCCTGTTCTCCATGAGCAAGGGCCCCCCCCCCCGGGTTTCTGGAGGCCCAAGACAGAATGCCACATTCCATCATGCACAGAAATATGTTGTGGGGCCCTCTTTTGCGTGTGATTCGGGGCAAATTGCCCCTTTTGCTCACTTCCCTCTCTGGACAGCCCTGTCCAGCAACGTTATCCGTGGTTAAATACACTGGTTTTTGTAAAATATAAAAAAGCCATTTTAAAAGCCTAGCATTTTCCAATGCCCATTAGACAACTTCACTTTTAAGTTTTCCCCGTGTGACGCCAACATTTGCAATACTCTGGCGTTGTGTCCATTGTTGATATTGCATGCTGCAAATATGTGCGCACACGTTTTTTTTACACTTTAGAGAGTTGATCTTTGAAAAAAAAATCCCGAACCCTCAACTTATGCAACAAAACATGTGAACAGGATTAATTTGCCACTTGACTCCTCATTCATTTTGTTGACAGTCCTATGCCTGATCACTGCTCATCTCGAATGCTGATGTATTCTCATTGAACGAGCTCAGCCTTGCAAGCAGGCTTAACTTGCATAAGAGCACCTTGTCAAAATTGCAGTGTGTGCAGTCGCTACATCGCACACGCAACACATGCCCTGGCTGGAGTGCACACATTTGTGCATCTCAGGAAGTCACCGTGAGAAATATAAACGCTTATCTCCATAAAATAATGGGATTTATTTATTTGCACCAACCTATAATATTTGTAATTTCTGATTAAGATGACTGTGTAATGTGGGCATCGCATACACTGCACGAGATTGTAGGGAATCATTTATTCACGAAGCGATCCTAACCCCAACTTTAACTCCTCTTGTGAAAAATCATAATAAAAATGAAGCATTTTGCCGTGCAACTTTCACGATTTTAATGAGGGAAATTATAGTCGTTCCCCGTGCTACCTATCTCTGCATCATGATGATGACATGGTGCAGCCCCAGAGAGGGACAGCCCTGACCTAAATGACTGTGCAGCCTTCTTATTTGCGGACACCACAGATAATACGAAGTTTTAACACTCAGTGACTCTTTTGAAGGAGCTTCACTGGCTCCCAATGCATGAGCATCAAGTTCAAAGTCGCAGCACTTGCTTTTACAGCAAAGACATCCGGTCAACCAACCTATCTGAGCGATGTCATCCGCCCATACGTACCATCACGAAACCTACACTCATCTTGTATGGATCTGCTGTGTGTGAAATCTACTTGACTTCGAGCAGCAGAGTTTTGTCATCTGCAACCCCGGTGGTCTGGAACAGTCTGCCAAATGAAGTCTGGTTAGCATTGACAATCGGTGCTTTTAAGAATGGACACAACTTGTATGGTCTCTTCCGTTTAATTTTGATATTTTCTCTGTGCCATCCACGCTTCTATCTCAGCGTTTTGCTCAATATGGTGTGCATTACAAATCTTGGATTGATATTTCCCAGTGCATTCCAATGTAGGACCCTCTTAAAATAGTCCTGAGACTTGGTGATGCCTTCCTAGCTAAATAATTGGCATTCTATTTACTATTATACGTATGAGATCCTGCTTGAAATGGGTCTCTTTCCCATGTCAGTGCTGTTGCCCGCATAGGACGCCCTACTTGCCCGGGTTTGAGTTTCCACTTTGCTGAATGGAATTACCTAATTCTAAAATATGTAACGATGTAACCATGACTAAGAATTGTTCTCATGTTTGCAAGAGGTTTTCATAGGTCACACTTTGCAATCGCTGGCCATAATGCTCCTTTCGTACATATAATGATACAGAGGGTGTGGCTGGTGACCACGTTACACACTTGCGATACTCTGTCAACTCAATTATGTAACAATTTGGAGTGATCAACCCCAATACATAGGTATATAAACAACCATCTCGGTTACCAAGACATAAAAGACATCCACGATTTTTCACCTCTAATTAGCATGGTTGCCTATGTTTCTTGCGAAATAAGCTCAACATACATCTTTTAGGTGATTGCCACCAATAAACATTCACATACTTGTTTTTATTTACACCACTGTATAGGCCAGGCAGGGTGAGTTCGGTGGCACTTATTTCACTGTGACTTGTCTGCCATTACAATACGGTAATTCACCCCTACCATTGTCAAAGGTGGCATCGCACACTCGCGCCCCAAATTGAATGCAAACTGCATGCGTGCAGACGCTTCCAGAATGTGTATGAACAGCTCTTTTTTGCTTTGTGTCGGCTGAAATCGTCGTTTCATCAGTTTTCTTAGGTGAGTGAAAGCGATGAGTGCATGTGTCCCGTGGCTTTGCTGCCTATAAATCCCACAATAACCACACTGGCACGGCTCATTCCGGACGGCGTCACCTCCACCATCTCAGCCATGTCGATGACAACGGGAAAGGTGCGTCCCATTAATGTATCTTATGTACGTGTATGAGTGTGGTATAATATTAACTGATAACAAATGTAACGCCGTAACATGGAAAGCCCCACGGCAAGGGTGTTATTAATGCAGCTTGTGAACAACACGATTGTAAAGCGAAACATTGGCCAGGTTTCAATGTGTTTTTGTTAAAGCATTTCAATCGCTTTTCTTTGCAGATTCGAGAGAAGTTCGTCATTAATCAAATGATCAGTACGTTTGATAATCACAGCAATCTTATAGCGCAAGAGTATCATGCAATCGCTGTTTTTATGGCCATATTCTGTAGTTGATTTTTTTTACATTTCAAATTAAACACTTGGTTGCAAATATCTGTGTAAATTCATGAACGTTTATAGTTGTGTAAAAATTACAGATGCTTTTTAAAACGGGTTAAATTAAATACCTTGAAGGTGAGGCATGGAATCACCATACAGGTAAACATTAACACAAGGTTTACATTATATTGTTACTGTAAAGGGATTGTGTGAGAGTTCATAAAATATAACTACAGTATGCAAAGATACCATTATTCAAATATCTTCAGAAGATATACAAATTTGTAACATTTGTTATACAACATGACACATTTGAATGTTGCTACCAAGTCACGAATTAAAGTGCTTGATTTTCTGGCATACAAAATTGTGTTTTGCAACGATTCTACGAGAAGACATCGGTGTGAAACGTTATTTCCAAAGTCTTACTCTTGTATACATTGGGTGAATTTAATTCAGAAGTAGGTGTGGTATGACAATGGTAAGCGTCTACGAGAGTTTACAGCGAGAACAGTTTTCAGCATAACGATTACAATGGTTTTCTCTTCAAAATAATTATCTAGAAAATGGACCTGGTGATGCCCCAATTGTGAAACTCTTCTTCTATAAACAAAAGGGATGCGTAGCAATAGGCTCTCCTTTATCCCCTGTGATAGCGAATTTGTAGATGGAAGATTTTGAAACAAAAGCAATAGCTTTAAGCACACTCAAACCATCTGCTTGGTTTAGATATGTGGATGACACATTGGTGGTCTGGCCACACGGCAAAGATACACTGAACGCATTTCGAAATCATCTCAACTCGCAAAATGCATCCATCCAGTTCACCATGGAAGTGGAAGCTGACATAACGCTACCATTTCTGGATATTCTGCTTGGACGGGGTCGAAATGGTAAAATAACACTGTTTACCGAACGAAAACGCATAATGACGCCTATCTGAATGCAGTCAAACCATCACCCCACGCAGAAATCTGCTCTTATCAAGACGCTCATTCATCGAGCTGAGAAAGTGTCAGATGGTGACAGTCTGAGAAGTGAAATTCAATATGTCAAAGAAGTGCTGCAAATGAACGGTCATGATGATACAAAAATCAACAGGGCATTGAATGCCAAAACCAAATCAAATAACAAGTGCATTGAAACTGCCCAAGTAATTAAAACGATCAAAATACTGTACATTGCGGGAGTAACTGATAAACTAGTCATATGTTTGGAAAAATTCGAGTCAGATTTGGCACGGTACATAAAATACAGAAATTAATATCAGGTACAAAAGATGTATTACCGAAGCTATCAACAGAAGGTGTGTACAGGATTACAGTGAGGGGAAAAAGTATTTGATCCCCTGCTGATTTTGTACGTTTGCCTACTGACAAAGAAATTATCAGTATATCATTTTAACGGTAGGTTTATTTGAACAGTGAGAGACAGAATAACAACAACAAAATCCAGAAAACGCATGTCAAAAATGTTATAAATTGATTTGCATTTTAATGAGGGAAATAAGTATTTGACCCCCTCTCAATCAAACATATTTCCCGCTCCCAGGTGTATTTTATACAGGTAACGAGCTGAGATTAGGAGCACACTCTTAAAGGGAGTGCTCCTAATATCAGCTTGTTACCTGTATAAAAGACACCTGTTCACAGAAGAAATCAATCATATTCCAAACTCTCCACCATGGCCAAGACCAAAGAGCTCTCCAAGGATGTTCGGGACAAGATTGTAGACCTACACAAGGTTGGAATGGGCTACAAGACCATCGCCAAGCAGCTTGGTGAGAAGGTGACAATAGTTGGTGCGATTATTCGCAAATGGAAGAAACACAAAAGAACTATCAATCTCCCTCGGCCTGGTGCTCCATGCAAGATCTCACCTCGTGGAGTTGCAATCATCATGAGAACGGTGAGGAATCAGCCCAGAACTACACGGGAGGATCTTGTCAATGATCTCAAGGCAGCTGGGACCATAGTCACCAAGAAAACAGTTGGTAACACACTACGCCGTGAAGGACTGAAATCCTGCAGCGCCCGCAAGGTCCCCCTGCTCAAGAAAGCACATATACATGCCCGTCTGAAGTTTGCCAATGAACATCTGAATGATTCAGAGGACAACTGGGTGAAAGTGTTGTGGTCAGATGAGACCAAAATGGAGCTCTTTGGCATAAACTCAACTCGCCGTGTTTGGAGGAGGAATGCTGCCTATGACCCCAATAACACCATCCCCACCGTCAAACATGGAGGTGGAAACATTATGCGTTGGGGGTGTTTTTCTGCTAAGGGGACAGGACAACTTCACCGCATCAAAGGGACGATGGACAGGGCCATGTACCGTCAAATATTGGGTGAGAACCTCCTGAGTGAAGATGTCATAGAAAGCAATGGGAGCACGAAATCAGAAACAAGTAAACCCGTAAAAACAAAGTTTTTCACTATAAATCCTTTATATGCGTGGCATCGGGGCGGCTAGAGTCCTCTCGTCCTCTGGCTTGAGATGGCTGCCACCTATGGGTCAGATGATTGTCTGGCAGCATTAAACAATTGGTAATTAAATACTTAAAAAAATTTCCCTAAACAGTGTAAAATTTTGGAAAAATGTTTTCACGAAAATGCCTTGTCACGCACAACGAGTCTGTGTGCAAAATGTCAGCTCGATTGGATCACGGGAAGTGGGTTAAAAAACGACCGAAAGATTTGCACGGTCCTAAGCAAGCACGCGAACTTAATATAAAGGATTTAAAAAGGTTGATGATTTGCCATTCGCATATAATACCCCATGGGCAGAAGTAAATAATCAAAACACATGAGAGAGATAACTATCTTAATTTGGTAGACTAATTCTATGCAGATCTCTCGTAAACAAAACATTCATCCCATCAATAACTGTTTCTCAGATAAAGATGTTGGAGTTCCAAATGTCACACGCTTGATTACCTAGGAAAGCCTGAGTCTCAATGCTCTCTTTAAGGAATGTCCTATCAATTACCTCAATAGGGGGCTGACGAGTGTTATGGTTTTCAATTAATCAGTTTGCAGAATTATTGTTCAACCACTATTCGCTCCCGTAACTACATTTCCCTTCCATCAAGAGCAGCTTGCCACCACGACGGGGATTCACAGCACACATCAGGCTGACAGCTATTTCGTTCATTATTTATATTTAGTGACTTGCTTGTCATTTTCTCTATTCTTCACTCCTATCGTTCTTTTGTAGTTTTACTGTTGTAACTTGCTGACCCGCCCAATACTGGACATCTGCGAGAAAGAGCTTCATAGCCCATCGGATTTCCTCCAATCTCGAAAAAAAAAGAAAAAAATTCTCATTCCGAATTCGATGTCGCGTGTTTGCAGATCATCTTTTTCGAGGGTGAGAATTTCCAGGGATTGCGCCTGGAGGCGTCGGGGGAGGTGGAGAGCTTCTTGGAGCGCAGGTTCCCCGGCTGCGTTGGCTCGGCCCGCGTGGAGAGCGGCGCTTGGCTGTGCTTCGAGCATGCGCACCTTCAAGGGCAGCAGCTGGTGCTGGAGCACGGCGAGTACGCGCACCTGCGCAGCTGGGGCGACCGCTGCGAGGAGATGGGCTCGTGTCGGCCCGTGCGCATGGTACGTCTCGGCTTGCGCCAGGGGCCGGCGCTCTCAATTGCCAGCAAGGAGCCACCACCCACCCACCCATTGTGCTGCGTCGCGCACCGCACATCATTCGCACTGGGTTATCAGAATTATAATCTTTATACTGGAGGAATCCGATGAGCTATAGAGCTCATTTTCACACGTGCTAACACGCCTGGGTGGATTATCATAAATGTGAACACTCATTACGTAGCTGATAACACCTAAACACATTCCTGCGGAGGGAGCTGGTAGGAACGTTGGGTTGCTCGGTCAATGGCCAGGGTCAACGGCAGCGTGGTGTATTCCGCAAATATGGCCGACTGTGAGGGCGGGCACAAGCCGGCGTGAGTAGGTTAAACGTTGAGTTTTATAAGAGCACCACGGGGTGACCAGCCCCTCCCCACCCCACCCAGCCCCCACCCAGCCCCACCCTCCCCACCCTTCTCTCTCCACCCAGCCCCACCCTCCCATTTTTTGATGCACGACGGACGGACGGACACAATAATCTCTTGTGGGCTGGTGTAACCAGGAGGTTCCTACCAGTAATATATGTACTATATAGGACCGCAGAGCTTGGACAATTGTCGGCGCCGCCTCATCGCAAGGCTGCCTTCCAGATTGTCTGTGGGTCCTCCTCGCCGCCTCTGAGTTGTTTTCTCTCTCTCGCTCTACAAGTTGACATAATTCTTATTAATTAATATATACACATACGTGAGTTTATATCGCCAACAAAATTACATTGAGTGCCATCAACCCTACTTTCGAACACGTGATTTCTGGCAGCATTCGTTTCACCAGCCAACGGTGGGGTTTTCCTGCTTTAACAAACAAAAACATTTGCTGGTATCATTGGCCCACACTCATTGATTGACTTTATTTCATCACCTTATGTCATTACGTTCTCGCAACACATTTGCTCGCATCACTTTATTTCTCTCTCTTGATATAGTCGTGTAGCGTTCCATATGCCATTCGCGGACAGCCAACATAGCGGATAGCACGTTCCCGAATAACGAGGGGAAGGAATACTGTATTGTTTATTTTCTGTGCAGTTTGGGGAGAACTTCTCCATTGAGCTGTTCGAGGGAGCGGATTTGACGGGGCAGTGTGTGGAGCTGAACGAGGACTGCCCCCTGTTGGTGCAGGTCCCCACGTGGGGCCGCCGCGCCGTGGCCTCGATCCGCGTGCGAGGAGACGGAGCGTGAGTCGTGCCCCCCACCACACCCGCGAGCCCCCCACATTCCCATGCTTAGAACGGGAGCACGCGTTCAGAGCCCGCACACCACCAACTGAAAGCATGACAACACTCGGGATTTAGTTTTATGAGCTAAAACTGGCCACATAAATAGGAATGTGGCATCTTCACCGCTGGTTCTCGATCACTAACGTGAGTTAGTCCTTGCCCATGAGGACTGACTTATTGTTTATGCTCCATTGTACATCGCCTCTGTCACGATCGTGCATGGCTATGCTGATCTCCTTCTCATGTCGCTCGATTTTCCTCCACGTGCCCTCCATGCCAGCCTCCAAGACCTCTTGTCCACAACGATGTTGAACATTGTCAATGAAAAATAAAATTGTTGGTTTGCAGTTTTAATTCAGTTATCTGTAATGTTAAAGGAAATGTCTTGCCATTGTTTTTTTAATCCTTTTGCCCACATATCAACAGATAATAATAAGGGAAATATGTGGATGCGACTGGCCTAACCCCACAGATTAAAACAAAAAAATAATAGGGCTAAATTGACAAATGTTATAAATGGGTTATGTGGTAAGTTTGGATTAATTTGTCAGTCTCTCCCATGCTGAGCGACACAGAGCACTTATTTAGCCATTGCAAACCCACCGACCGGCTGGAAGTTTTTCTCTTGATCGTCTTCTTCCACAGCACAGCCTCGGTGTGTGGCGCGCGCGTAGCCTGAGCTTGCTTGCCTTGTGACACATTTATTGACGACACTTCGGCAGCATCGAGTGCAACTGACGATAATCCCCGTGTATTGTTTTCCGGCAGTTGGGTGCTGTATGATGACAGTAACTACCGCGGCAGGCAGTACCTGCTGGAGCGGGGCGTGTACCGCTGCCCAGCTGCATGGAAAGCCTCCAGCGGGACGGTGCTCTCCCTGCGACGCGTCAACAACTACCTCTCGTAGCACACACGGATGCCCTCTGGCCATAAAGGCTCTTTTACAAACACTTAGGATAACTGCAAGTACATGGCATAAGTATCTAACCTTCCACGACCTGGCCCAGGATGGTTGATTGGATGTGATGTCTGGTGGCCCAGTTTATTGTGGTGGCGAGACAGACCTTATCCCAAGCACAAATGAGGTCACGGATATATTCACAGTACTGCATATATAACCATTTCAAGTTATCTCTGTTGGTCATTTCCATAACAGAGGTGCCTGGGTGACTCACAATGCTATGCCTACGTCATAATAGAGCCAGCACCGCATTTCAGCTTCCCACCCCGTATAAAACTGTTCTAAAATGTGTTACCAAGTTGATAGTATCACGTGGTCATCAGTGATTGCCACAAAAAACTCATTATAATTATTATAATTTGATTGTACTTCATTTCCTCTGGCCCATCACTGGAAGTAAACGATAAACATATGTGAGATAACAGCTGAGGCATACCACTCATCACCATCCCATTAACATAATCTGGTGATCAGACTTGTGTACAGTCACAACTGTTTCAATGTGCTTCTTCTATGCTGATTCCCTGTGACCTGCAGCTTCCCCGCTTGCAGTTTATGGGACATTAACTTTGTAGCTTAAAGGAACACAATTGGGATATATCAGAATTAATACTAAAAAAGCCTCTACATGCATACATTGTTATAACAATTAATAGCTACAATGTGATTTAGCAGCAATACCTGGTCAAGAAATATAGTAACACATTATTTCTGGAAGAGAGCTGTTATCTTAATTCTACAATGATAACCTCGCAAATAAGACTGTAATCTCCACGATGCGCTGTATACATCATACCAATGTTTTACATGCACACTTTCCCTAATGTTATTTTTTTCACTGTAAATTTGAGTCTGTTGCACGGGTTCTTAAGATCAAGCTCTCGGTTACTTATTGTAATTAAGTGGGAAATGTGGTGGACAGATTTACTTGGGTAAAATCCCATGAGACTCATTTGGTAAATTAGAGCACATTCCAACATTTACTTTTATATTTTCACAATCTATGGCACACACACTGATCATAGGTTGCTTGGCCTATAATTCCTTTAAGCCATTTTCCATCAATTTATCATCGGGCAAAAAATATGCACAGTGAACAATGGTCTAACATTTCGTTTTCTTTTAAATACCTATCATTGTGTGCTTTGTATAGCATTTCAAAAACTTGGAAATGTCTTCATATTACAATTCACACAAGCAGTGGTTACGCAATTGCCACACATCCTCATGCCGTGTGCCGCATCAAGGTCAAATGCAAGCACACGTGACCGGACGAGTCCATCCATGCTCTTCAGCGAGAGCTCGCGGCTGTCACGTCACGTGACCGACAGGTGTGCTCCCTCACTCGTGTCGAACTCAACGATGCAGAATGACACTCAGGTCACCGAGTCGTTTTAACGCCTACAACTGGTTTTATTTTCCTACTTCTAATTACATCATCAGTATTACAATAAAAAATGTACTTGAGATGAACTGAACAGTGTATGAGGTTTGGTTTTAAATGATGTCGTGAAATGCTATTGATGTTTGGGTTAGAGTTCCATACACACCAACGACTTACACAAACTTTATTTAATGCTTAAAAACAGGGGTGAACATCTCTTTTTGCAAGATAAATTGTCTTCCTGCACAAATTAGTGTGGCACGGTGCCCATATCTGTTCGTAGTCATGGGCCACAATTAGTCAATGAGCCCAGACTAGATATTTCATGTTGGTTTCACCTGATGTATGAATTTTGAACTTTTGCACCGTACGTAGCCAACCGCACTAATCGAAAGTTCTGTTTGCAAGATCGCTCATATTCCTATGCTTTCCTCATAGTCTGTTTCAGTTTCATTTGTTTGGTATAGCCCTGTGAGCCATTCGGCTCTTGAATCGGGTGCAACCGCAACAAACAAAAAAAACATGAACAAGAAAACATCTTAAAGTGACTATGCGCAAGTGGGATGCAAGTCAAACAACAACCACAAGACAACTTAGATTAAAGACATCAGTCTAACTCCGTACTACAACAAACAAACATGGCCAAACCAAAACACTTTTCGAAATCACCAAAATAAAGCCATAAAAGCAATGTAACAGTGATCATAGGAACTGTGACCGAAATTTCACAATAAACAACATGTACCACCAAACCCTGTAGCCATAGCTGGCTGCATGAGTCACTCCACAACAGCAGGAGCATCAGTAGGAGTATAAAAACATGTTCAATGCACCTTTGAAGATCAGCACACTAAATCAAAACACAAGATCATACTTTGCAGCGGTCATCCAGAGCGAAACATTTGATTTTTAGGCCACTGAATAGCAATGGCAGCTAGGGGTGTACAACTCCTCTAGAGCAGTTGTGAGTGAGATCTCATAGGTAGTGATTCAAGTTGCAGTTTATTGGCAATAGCATTCCAGACCCTGGGGGCATCAATAGCAAAGGCCCTTCCTCCAGTATTTTTACAGCAATAAGGAATGTGAAGCTGGTAAATGAGCGAAGACCTTAGGTCACATTGTTTTTCGAAACAGAGAGGAGATCCAGCAGGTAGTCTGCAGATTTTTTTTTGTAAGTACATCGTGAATAAATACGATCTGATGCACAAGCCGTCGAACATTAAGAGATGTTAATTTTGACCCAATGAGAGATCACAGTGGTGAGTCCTATATGGGCAGTTCAATGCAAATCTTAAAGCCGAGTGATAAATTAAGCTTCTTCAGTACAGTACTGGGGGCTGATTTATATACAATGTCACAGTAATCAAGTAGAGGCAGTATGGTAGCTTTTATAAATTCCAAACGGAACATAGGGGGGAAGCAGTGCTTGTGTCGATACAGAAAACTATATTTTTTGTCTTTTTACCAATATAATCAATGTGATCTTCAAAATTCAGTTTTGAATCCAGGATGACCCCAAAATACTGAGAGATCTTGACTTGCTCTATTTGATAATTATTTCAGGAATGTAATTGGGGAAAAATAACTTCCTGCTTTAGTCCTGGTAAGAAGCATAGCACCTTGGTTTTGGAGGTATTCAGGGCTAGTTTAAGAGCAACTAGCTGATGTTGTAGTTTGTTGAAATCATCCTGGAGCTTAGCAATCACGTCATCCGGAGAGCGGCCAGCAGTAATCAGTATCGTGTCATCTGCAAAAAGATTTACCCTGGAATGATCCAGGTCAGTGCCCAAGTCATTGACATAAAGAGAGAACAAGAGGAGGCCGAGGATGGAACCCTGTGGAACCCCTTTTGTTATCTTAGCACTATTTGACCTCCAACCATCTGTGAATACAGTTTGTGTGCGAGAAAATAGGTAATTTTTTAACCATTCTACTACGTGTTTGGAGAAACCGAGGCAACTTAGTTTACTAAGCAGGGTGTTGTGGTCGACTGTATCAAAGGCTTTGGACAAGTCAAGAAAAAGACTGGCGCAGTACTGCTTATTATCAAGGCTACTGTAAATGTGATTCAGAGTCTAATGCAGCAGATGTGGTGCTTTATTTTTTTCGGAACCCTGATTGTTGAGATGTAATAGATTGTTGTCCGACAGGAAACTGTAATTTGGTAGTTCAATAATTTTTCTAAAATGTTCATAAACGGGGACAAAATTGAGATAGGTCGGTAGTTATTTGGATCATTTTTAGGGCCCCCTTTGTGAAGTGGATGAACAAAGGAATGTTTCCATTCTAGAGGTACTGATGCTTCTTTGATGGACAGGTTGAAAATATGGGCTATAGGTTTGTATATTAGGTGACCAACAGTTAGCAGAGCATAGTCGGGCATACTAATGTTTGGACAGGGGTGTAGGAATTTGCATGAGCAGGGGTGACTCCCAATACATTATCAAAAAGGTTACCAGCTTCAGAAAAATGAAGGTTAAAATTGTCAACAATTTTTTTGGGCTAACTTGGAACCTCCTTACCCCAACCACCTCTGCTGTCACTTCCCTATTCAAGTCCAAGCTCAATACCTAATGTTTTCCTCTTTCTATGACTGACTGCCTTTGTCTACAAAGCATAAATGCACACTGTTGCTGTGATGCCTCTTGAGATGTGATCACATGTGTAATGTAGCCCTCAGAGACACCGTCTTGTTCAGTTATATATATATATTTATTATGAATGAAGTCCGCCGACTCACTGATAATTTAACGGGTACAGCTGGGTAACTTCTGTGACGATCTACGAGACGCTCCCTATGTAGTTGGCTGACTACATAGGAGCAGACGCGTAGCAGTCACGGAGACAATATTTAACTCGAGCCTTCCAAAACTATAAAGTGGCCGATCCAAGATGATGAAGACGACCCGCTCTAAGACAACGACGACGGTTCTTGATTCCCCCACAGCAGCCCAGAGTCCTGCTCCACTTTTATCCCACTCCCGGACCCGCCCACGCCCCTTTTCCCCAAAATCTCTCTCACCTCATCAGGGCTTGTCTGTCCCTGTCTCAATTATTATTTACGACCACTTAGGTCCCGTGCTATCCTTACGTGACCCTGTCAGTGCCCGTCGCGTCAATTATTAACCACGGCCATCAGGCCCCGTACTGTCCTTACACATGTCTATAATATGTACATCCAAATTGTATTTTATTGCAAATCAAAATTATGGTTTATCTGAAATTATTTTTGCTGGTACAAAGTTACGAAATTTAACTTGCAAAAAACATAGCAACCATCACTCCCTCGAGCAAACACATGACGAGATCTTCCAAAAAAGACACATGAGACCCAGTAAGTCTGTCCTGAGTAGACAAGAATACGAATTATAAATAGATCGCAGAATCCGATGCCACGTTTAACAATAGATATGAATGGGCAGATGAAAAAAGAGCGTGTGTGTGATATGTAAACATCTGCACCCTGATGACAAAGGTGACCAGGTATGGGTGCTGGCCATACCACCTTCTTGTGTACAATGATGGCTTTAATAGGTTCTGTCCAACAGCACTTGTCCCAAAATTCTAAAAGGCTAATCGGGGACCATTGTATTTGTGTGGAAGAAGTTGAGCAATATTCGTGATTCTCTGATGGCGTGTGGAAATCAGTACCTGAAACGTTCCAGCGCCTCGCCGATGTTGACTTGGCTAAATAAGAATACCTACAATGGTGTGTAAACATCTGCACTGGTGAGACAAAGGCAGCTGGGCAGTGGTGTTTCCATAGCCCCACCTCATGTCCCGTGTTACCTTAGATTTGGAGAATTATTTGTTTATTGATTGTGTAAATGTGTGCCTATGTCTATGTGCGTGTAATTAAGATCACGTGTGTTTGTTTGGGATCAGGTTTTGTATTTAAAATTTTACATTTCACAATGACGGCTGTGAATTTAAACACAAATTGTGGGTAAAATCAGCATTTCGTGTCTCTGAGGTTAACACATTCAGTAGTCCTTTGTAGAAAGTCGACAGTGCTTGTCCTGTGAAAGGTATGGTGCCCACCATGAGAATGTGTAATTCCCACCACAGAGTCAGGCCCATTAATGGGGATGAGAGTCCACTCCACTGTTAGCTGGAACAAGGCTTACACTTTCACGTTGAGTTTTTTTAAATACATTTATATTAGGATAGCGACGAGTCCCCAACCATACACACCACATACTCTGTTATTTTTAAAAACTTAAATCCCTTTAGGTGTTTTTATTTGACTGCACAAAGCCATGATGTGCAAGGTGTAGGCAATGTTGGTATTCTATTGTTGTAGAACGGAAGGCGTCACGCCACGAGATGTACATTACAACACAAACACACCTGTCCGATACAGTCTAATGATAACACTTCACCTGCCTCATGTGTACACTTGCTTTTCTGTTTCTCAAACAATTGTAATATGACTTTGCACAGTATTTAACGTTTGAATGTAAACAGAGGAGTAGCATGTATAGTCTAAACTCGGAAACGTGCCCTGGGACGTCTGTATGGTTACAAAAAGTATTTAACTGAGAAATGTTAAGGAGAAATACAGAAACTAAATTAAGGGTACAAAGTAACGTAACTTTGTTTCCAGCAGAGGCAACGTTATTATTTTAAAAGCTTGTATAAATATAGTGCAACATAACAAAACTTTCACAAATGAAAACAGCAATTATTTAAATTTGCATTCACATAGTCATCCCAAGGATAATACAGGGCAATATGAAGACAATACTGTATATCTTCTTGGTTCTTTCGGTCAAGTCACGTATAATAGAAATAATAAAATAATAAAAATAAAACATAATAAAATAATTCTCACGACGTTTCGGCCACAACGCAAGCAGCCGTCCTCAGGTGAAGAACAGGTCTGTCAGAAAGACAGCGTCTGAATGAACACCACCATGTTGGCAGCGTATATTTAAGCTGGGTTGGAGGGGGAAGAGCGCCTTGACAAAGGAATTTGCGTATCAAGAGGAATTTAGCATATTTAAAATTCCTCTTGATACGCAGTGTTGCCATTCGGCACCACTAAGGAGGTAGGGGTTGTTTTTGCCACACACAAGCACTCACTTGCAGCATGAAACCGACTCATTATATCATGCGGAGGATCGCTCCTCTGGACAAAATAGTTCCACGGTTCAGTTTTCAAGTGCAAGTTCGCGTTTGATGTCAATGTAATTTTTATTTATTTCATGGAAGCTGGTTCGTAAGTATGGGTGTTCGTAAGTCGGGTGTTCGTAAGTCGATGACTGCACGCACATTTTATTCTACTCTTGTATATGGCAATATGTTCAGGAGTTAAATGGCAGTGTTGAGGTCTGCTAGTCACGAGAGGGCTTCGGGAGTTCGTTCGTGTAGTTTTTCTATTCCTCCATTGAAGGAGGGTCGACTAAATGGTCCACCACATGGTCCATAGTTTGGGTTGTATGGCGAGAGTAGCACTGTGGCTTGTCTCTAATTTTCCTTTATGAAGATGTGCGTATTGGCCTGTTGATGTTCTGATGTGGTTGATGGCTACACCAGTGTCTTCGAGAAATATCAAAGCCAGGAGGTGTGATGTTTGGGTGTGAATGAGGTGTTTATTCTGGATGCCCGCGTTGTTCCACTGTGTTCGCTAACATTCCTCTGGATCTGGGTGAGATTCCTCGATAGTAACAGCGTAATCCAAACTACATAACTCCAATGGACAATCCATGATAATATGTGAACACTTCATACGCGCTCTTGTAAATTGAACCAGCATGAAATACGATACGTAAACAGTTTCAGTCTGTTCATTGACAATGAACAAATATATAGTTGTGAGTCACAGCACCTGGCCTGGCTTTGTTTCATGGAACCAGACTCTATAGCCTGAAGTCAAGTTTGGTCGGACCCCCGCGGTATATATTGCGTAAAGACGAGGACCAGGTGATGGGGCGACAAGAACACGATCAGCATCCGCGTATACAGAGATGCTCCGGCATAGCAAAACTCGATAGGGTATTTATGTACCAATGTAACAATCTAAAGGGTCAACAAATATGAAATGTTGTAGACCTACGCACACAGTTTAATATCTAAAAAAGCTGATCTTAACTGAAGCTATAGTCTAGTGTTCAGTACAACATATATTAGTGGGTTTACTGATTTGGCACGAGGCGCGCGCCGGTAGCTCCAGGCCATGGGCACTGGCTCCTCCAAGCTGCGCGGCGGCAGCAAGCAGGCGGTGCCCGACCGCATGTGGGACGCGCACAAGGGTGGCGTCTGCTGCGCCAGCGTGAGCGGCGACGGCGAGCTGTTGCTCACGGGCGGCGAGGACGCGCGCGCCGCACTGTGGAGCACGCGCACCTTCGCTGCGCTCGCCGCGCTCGAGGGCCACGAGTCGTACGTGACGGACTGCGCGTTCGCGCTCGACAGCTCCCGCGCCTTCACGTGCAGCGCCGATTTCGCCGTGCGCGTGTGGCAGATCGATGGTGGTGGCGGAGCGCTGAGCGTTAGCTGCGCGCACGTCCTGCACGGCCACACGGCCCGCGTGAACCGTTTGCTGGTGCACGGGGACCACTCGGTCTACAGCACGTCTGCCGACCGCACGGTGCGCCGCTGGAACGCGGCGGACGGAAGCTGTCTCGCCGTCTGCGAGGGTCACACGGACAACGTGCTGCCCCTGGCGCTTTACCTGGCGGAGGACGACCCGGATAACGCCGACGAGGTGCCCGGGCAGGTGGTGCTGGCGGCTGGCGGCATGGACGGCACGGTGCGGCTGTGGGACGAGACTGGCACGGCGCTGCACTGCCTCGAGGGACACACGGGTCCTGTTCTGTGCCTCGCTGTGCTGCAAACGCGAGCCGCCCTCTTCTCGGGCAGTGCGGATGGCACGGTGCGCCGCTGGGACGTGCTCAAGGGGGAGGCCGTGTCAGTGTTCGCTGAAAACCTGGGCAGCGTCATTTGCATGCAGGTGCGCAGATCATTACAAGTGTGTGTTTATAAATGTATAATTGGAAGGGCACCTGAGAAGCGTTATCCTTTTGAGCTGAATTGAGAAATATATGTGAATTGTGGAGATGCAAATCTCTGCTGTGGGACCTAAGTTCTGCTCCACTGGTCCTGTTCGTCCCATGGCTTCATCTCGCACGTGGACGTCCTGCAGGTGGCAGGGCGTTACCTGTACGCAGGTGGCAAGGATGGCATTGCGCGGCGCTGGGAAACGCGATCGCAGATCTGCGCACGCAGCTATCAGCCGCATACGCGCGCCGTGAGTGCGCTCGAGGTTCATCGCAATGTCCGTAAGTGTCGCTCGTTACACTTCCACAATCTACGGGGCACTGGGGCTGCAACGCAACTTCGAAGTGGAACTTGTGAATGTGCTAAGAATGGAATTGAATACAGGTGTTTGGTGTGTGGGTGTGCAGTGTTCACAGGGAGTGGAGATGGGAGCGCCTGCTCCTACAACGCTCAAACAGGGGAGGTAATGAGGACCTTCAAGGGGCATAACTACATTATCAACTGCATGAAGGTGAATTCCAGTGCTGTATTGTGAGTAGGTAAATTGATTTAATATACGTACTGTACTGTTTACATAGTTATTATCGTGTATTTATGTAAAGATGTATTAGGTAAGGTAACCCCTAAAGTCAGAATTAAATCAACACATTTTTTGGGTACGTTTTAAATATTTTTTTAAAGTGGTGTACTGCACTTGTTTTGTGAACAACAAAAATACAAGGGATACGATATAAGGCATATTAATTAATGGGCAATATTTAGTAAATAGCTCACCTGGCCTTAGTGTACAAACCAAGGAAGGGGAGCTCAATCGGGTTGGTAGTTGTGGGAGTTGAGTAGGCAGACCTGTCAACCCATGCGGTTTACCCGTATTCTTGTAAAGGGAAATTGAGTTTTCAGGTCGATACGGCATACAGCCGTTTCAATCCGGGCAATTTTTTTTTTATATTTATTTCCATTTCTCTCTTATGATGGGGCTTTGTAAGATGAATGTTGAGATTTTTAAGGGCACGGGGTGATCAATAAGTTCTGAATTTGGTCTGTCATAAGGCAATGATAAGCGTAGATTTTGACTTAAAGCTTTCGTGACTGCATGAATTCATATTCTTTGGGTCTTTCGGTAAAGCCACGTAGATAGAAAAATAAAAAATAAAAATAATAACAATATGGTGATATTGTAATTTTTTTTATTTTTTACCGAAAGACCCAAAGAACACTGATAAGCGGTTGACAGGCTACCCTGCGTGAGCTGTTAGTGTTATTGATGGAGCACGCCGAGGGTTGCCCTAACACGCAGCGTCCTCTCCAAAGAAAACAACATAGGTAAAACACACAAGCCTTTCAATGCACACACTTGTATGTGCACGCAAAAGTATAGAATGCATTCTTTTGACCCCGAAATTAATCAAATTTGATGTGCTCAATAAAAGTGGGTGGCTTGCATAAAGAGAATGTCAAATTTCGAAAGGAAGCCAGCCACCTTTATTGATTGATTCCGGGATCAAAGTAATTTACCGTACTTCTATATTTGAGTGCAAATAAAAGTGTGTGCATTGAAAAGCTTGTGTTTTTTATTATTATTACCTAATAGGTTTTGTGTACTTGCTGCTTCCAGCGTTAAGGAAAAGAGGAAGGCGCAGCGGCGGCTCCGGCGTTACGACAACGAGCAGAGATGTGATCAGAGGCTGTCCAGCAATAGCTGCTACCATTCGTAATTTCAAAAAGTGTGGGGGGGGGGGGGGTGTAAAATGTACGATTAATTATTAATGATTAAAATGTAAATCAAATCTTAAATTGTCACGCCAGGTGAGTCTGTACAGAAAATTTCAGCTCGTTCGACTTCGTAGATCCGAAAATATTAAGCGTCAAAGATTAAAAAGGATATAAACAGACAGCACGGAAAGTTAGATAAAAGTGTGTAATAATCATTAAAGGGCCGTGCATGACCTTGTAGGGAAGCTGTTGTGCCGACCCACACGTTCGTTTTTACGCGAGGATTTTTCAGTCCCCCCCCAAGAGTCACAATTGTAAGTGGTGACTCACCCAACTAATATGAAGTGTTGCTTCGCATGTGAAGTTGATTGGCTTAAGGTAAACATTGGTGGCCCATCTGTTTTGTAACACATGAGCATGCAGAACTTACGGTGACACTTATAATCCATGATTCAAAATCCATGTAAGGTACAGTGTGAGATGTTTATGGGGGTATTTTGTGAAGTGTATGAGGGGAATGCCTAGTTCCAGCGAAGCTCATTGAACTGGATGTTTATTGACTAATCGTCATGGTTGATATGACACGCGCAACAATGTCTCTAGACGTGTAGGGAAGGACCTGCATGTGATGCTCAATGAGTATCCACAGCATTTTAAAACTTAGGATATAGAACTACCGGTGTTTTTCCAATCGTGGAATTTTCATTTCACATGGAAAACTTTGAAACTTCACACACACACATTGACATATTTTGCTTTTTTCTTCTAAACACAATTTTATTGGAGGGTACTTACCCGTGAAGAGAATCTGTAAAGTGGAACTCAACATAAATATGAGCAAATTAACGTTCATAATCGAATGTACATTTAATGTTGTGAAATAAGCTCCACAATAAGACAAATTGAGGTCATCGCTGCCAAGCTTTGCACAGCCACTAAAATGGAGTAATCTGTCTACTGTGTGGTGTGTGGATGTGCCTGGTTCTGTGTGATTCAGGTAGCAGGGGATACACTCTTCACAGGATCGCAAGATGGAAGCATCCGGGCATGGAGTCTGCAACGGGTTTTTGCAGATGCACAGGACAAGCAAGCTGAACAAAATAACGACGTGGCAGATCAGTCGGAGAATAAACCAGATGAAGGAAAGGTTGTGGATGAGGTGAACGAGTTAAAGGAAGATGGAGAGAATGCAGAAAACGTGTCAGACGACGTGGCAGATAAGTCGGTTCGTACATCGGAAGAAAATGGTGCACATGAGGTGAATGAGTCAAAGGAAGACAGCACCAATAATTAATCAGACAGACGAAAGCAAGGAAGGATAAGACTAATTCAGGAGCAGGCCTCAAGACGAGGTGCAGGCAGTCATATGGTGAAGCTCATACTCTTATATAAGTGCACAACTTTATCTATCTGTGATGAACGCTGCACTTTCCGTCGTTTTCATGCAGGGGACGCTGCAAACCTACGCACCCCCTGTATGAACGACGGAGGCACAGGGACAGACGTTCGATTACGTTGGGATCGATCTGCAGACGGCGGTCTTCTCGCACGGCCAGCAGCTCTATGTCGCCTTATCTCGATCCCAAATAGGTGAAACTCGGCATTGAACCGAATCCCCAGCAAGGCCATCTACTTAACGACGAGAAAAAATTCACACGAAATGTCGTTTTCATTGAAGTCTTCCAGATGTAAAATGATATAAGCTTTTAATGAAGAAATACAATTATCTAATTCAAAACATAATACAATTCAAAGATGTTTCATTTTAAAACTCCAAAAAAGAGCATCGGGTGCTTGCGTGAATGCGTCGTTCGTGTGCAATTTTTTCGTGACTTTCCTGGCCGAAGGCCGTAAATGGTTAGTTGGCGCTATAGGCGCCCCCGAACAACCCCTAGTTGAAAAATACTTGCAAACGTCGATTTTGCGTGCGTATATAGCACCAGTATCGTCCAACTAGATAAAAAAAATGGCAAGCAAATTTCAAGGAATACTTGAATTTGTCTGATTTTCCTGTCCATCTTATTTGATATAGATTTATATAATGCCTTATGCCAAGGTGCGTTACAGCAATTATACAATTGTACATAAGAATGTTTTTACCTACGTGACTTTACCGAAAAAACCTAAGAATATGAATCATTTCATTCACGAAAGCTTCAAATCTAGAAAAAAAAGATGGTAGTAGTTGAGATATAGAGTGGGATTATTAAAAGTGGTGGTGTAGTTATGGTGAACAACATGACAGGTGGGATTGGTTAAGGAGGGGTAATGATAGGGTTAGGGGTCGTGGTAGTGATAGGGGTAGTGGTGGGGTAGTGATAGGGGTAGGGATAGCCCTAGGCGTAGTTGGGCGGCGGGGGCAGGGAGTAGCAGGAGGATGTGCTATGGAGAAGAGATGTGCACAAGTGCTTTGGGGCACAAGTCACACAATGCACCCACGATATTGAGGGTGTGAACAAGTGACAATGAAGGACACAAAGCAGGACCTGGAGAGAATTATGCACGTCAAGCTCACCATGCGAAAATGCAAACCCATTACAATCCTGAGATTTGACTGCCTGGTGGATTAAGCTACCTTGAGATTATCCTCGGGTCCAATTAAACCAGCCAGCTGCGCTGAGCCAATGTTTGCCTTCATAATCATGAATTATTACAGTGCACAATAGAGGGATAACATAGTTTAGCTTGGGCTGCAATACCGTACCGTTATAATTCATACTAGTATAATAAAACTGTTACCATGAATACATCAGGTAGAGCTCAATATATTATAATTATCCTCTTAGTCTTGTACACACATTGTGGCATTAACTAATCCCGGCTATGACATTATGGGGGCCCCGCATCCCACACCTCATCTCCACGATGACGTCTCAGGCTTGAGGAGACGGATGTGGACAGAGGGCACAAGCTCTGGGTATAAATAACCATTTTGTGGGAGTTATTGTTGTGAGGCTTCATCGGGTGGCTTAAGGTTCTTTCCTCCGAGCTGAGTATGCATGACTAAGATGCGGCAGTATCAATAAACATTTATTACAGCCAAATCTTGCACTGGCTGCTTCTGTTATTGTGTTGAATTCACGCGAGTGTGGTTTTGGTGTGGCCTATATTCCCCTCATGGGCAGCAGAAGGTAGGCTGCAAGAAGGTAGGCTGCAAAGGTAAGAGCAGTCAATCAATCTTTACTTGAGTGCTTCTCAATTTTTTGTGAATTAAATATCACATTTGAGATACGCAGCGATAACCTTCCCTGAGAGCACCATTGCAGGTGCTGCTTTGTAAGTGGGATAACCCCAATGCCTGTCCACCTCGGCCCTCAATCGTTGAGGAAAAGTGATCTATGACTGGATGACCGTGGTACATTGTGAAGGAATGGTCACCATGTATAGCAACAACCATTCAGGGACATTTCCCACCAAGCACAGAGGCTGCGCCCATCATATGCCTCGTGCGTCCTCCCCGTTAACCCCGGGTCTGGGAAAGTGACATTGAGGCAATAAAAAGGATTTAAAAAACAAAGTTTTTCACTATAAATCCTTTATATGCATGGCAGCTAGTCCTCTCGTCCTCTGGCTTGAGATGGCTGCCACCTATGGGTCAGATGATTGCCTGACACCATTAAGCAATTGGTAATTAAATATACATTTTTTTCCCCTAAAAAGTGTAAAATATTGGGTAAAAACTTTCACGAAAATAAATTGTCACGCACAACGAGTCTGTGTGCAAAATGTCAGCTCGATTGGATCACGGGAAGTGGGTTAAAAAACGACTGAAAGATGTGCACGGTCGTAAGCGCACAAGCAAGCAAGTGAACTTAATATAAAGGATTTAAAAATGCGTTTCCCTCTAGTTAACTTTTTTTTGTTCACAGGGCCACAACCAGGTCCTCTCAGACGATGAGACCAGTTGAGCTGTTGTGTGGGCCCCCATTACAAGGATACTAGCTGTACTACCCGGCTTCGCCCGGGACTTGGATCCACCATGCCCGGCCGCCTTTGTCTCCCCAGTGGCGATGTTAATACGCCACACCAGTTACTCGTTTTGAGGCTGAGTCCCTCCCTCACCACTCTCCCTCCCTCACCACTCTCCCTCCCTCACCACTCTCCTTCCCTCACCACTCTCCCTCACCACATGTTAAGGGCAATCCTAAATGAATCTACAATGAATTTACCTCAGAGTCGCGTGGTGGGTGTCGAGGCCTAGTACCGTGCAGAGCCTCCGGCCTCGCCTAAATTGCCTACCAGGCATGAGGCTGGGTACGGGTGCCGTTCCCCCCCCCCCCCCCCGTGCTACAATAATACTGTCTAATCGCTATAATTTTATTATGTACCGACCCTATAATAGTAATTGCACACATTGTGGTGGGGGGGGGAGTGAAGAGGACGTGAAACTTTGATGAATTTACCTCACAGTCGCGTGCTGGGTGTCGAGGCCTAGTACCGTGCAGAGCCTCCGGCCTCGTCTAAATTGCCCACCCGGCTGAGGCTGGGTACGGGTGCCATTTCCCCCCCCCCCCGCGCTACAATAATACTGTCTAATCGCTATAATTTTATTATGTACCGACCCTATAATAGTAATTGCACACATTGTGGTGGGGGGGGGGGGGGGGGAGTGAACAGGACGTGAAACTTTGATGAATTTACCTCAGAGTCGCGTGTTAATGCGTGCGCCTATTTTAACGGGAATTAAAAATGGCGTCCACCCCGCGGCTACCCGTTGCCAGGGGCAACCACCGTCCAATGAAACTGCGTATGGTCCGGCGACACACAGACACACACACAGACAGACAGATTCGCGATTTTATATATATAGATAATCGCTCAGGAGAGTGAACTCGGGTGGGCCAAAGTGACATTTGGTGGTTCTAGGGCCCCACCTCAGCACCACCCTAACGTTGGTCCTGGGGACACTCCTCTTACCCTCACTCCTATTATCTCACCTTCCAATTGTCTGCAGCTGTGAATGGATCTATTTGCGCGAAGATGCATCCTGACCATCGAAGCCTTTACTCGGATTACAGGAGTATAGTTGAAGTTGGCGTCGATGGAGCTGGAGTGAAGCCGGAACTGGGTTCGCTGGATCAGTCGGGAGACGGAGCTGAAGTTCCGGAGCAGCTCCACTCTTTCCTGCCTCCATTGCGATGTTTATATATATACAGTATGTTGCGTGGTAGAAAAGGACGCTGAAGCCGGTCGTGTAGGGGCTGACGCCAAACTGTTTATTTAGGGCTTACGCCTAACTTGGGGGAAGGGGTTAACACAAGGGTTATTAACTAAGCTCCCCAGGGGAAGGGTACTGGGAGTTCCCTACACCCCACCAGGCTACCAAGCTCTTCCCACAGCACTGACCGAGGGTTTATCCAACTCGGCCAGCCAGGTAAAGCAGCCCCCCTTTAGCCTGGCTCTCAATCCCTCTATCCCGGAGCCCCCTACTTCCTGCCCACTCACTCCTCTGACTCTCGGCGAAGACCCCCGTCCACGTCACGTGTCTCCCCTTAAATACCCCGGGGGGCATGACGTCACTTTACCCTGACGGCATTCCTGACGTCAGCACTCCACTCCTCAACATATATATAATCGAAAAACCTAACTTCTTACACGAGTACATGGTGTATAAACTTCAATCTCGGTGCACACCTGTATAATCTATTCGTTAATTCAAACCTGCTGTGCTGCGAGGTGGCCAGGAGATGGCAGTAGAGTAAGTAGGCTTGTGGCTCTCGGAGTGACGTACAGTATATATTTTCTATTTTTGTTTTAAAGATTAATAGTGATAATCCCATGGAAAGACTGACCCTGTCAACGAATTATTTAATATCCCTGCATATCTGTCCAAACAAGCGCACACGATGATCATTGAGACCCAGGGTTTAATGGTTAAGTTACATCAATACATTTGCATAATTTTGAACAACACCATCACTTGATGTAATTGTTCAGCTGGAATCCTTGACAGAAACTTTTTCGCAATATTTTAACCCCACCCACTTTGATAAAAAAAAGTTTTTCCAATGCAGCATGAGGAGTGTAGATATCGGCTCTTTTTATTGTGGAAATAATTATTCATGAATGGCAAATGGCGGAGTAGGGTGAATTTTCTGCAACGATGGCCATCATTCTGCCAACAAGAGGCAGAATGACCATCACTAATGCTTTCCAACTTGAGCCTCACAAATAACTGATCATTATTTATCATTTATACCGCTCCTCCCATGTAGCATATGGTAAAGCGCCAACTAAGGAAATGTTTTAATATTAAGCTCATAAATCCAATGCAAATATGTGTTTACTTAATTAAATTGTACTCTTACCAAACTCCTCACGGAAACTTCACAGTGAATTCTCATTTGCAATGTCTGCATTTGTGCAAGTCCTTGAGAAAGTGCCATTGATTGGTTGTTTATATGTCTCTCTGGTCCTTTGCCAATCTACTGCTGTAGCAAGTCCTTGCTACACCGCGTTGGTAACGTGGGTTTGTTGCACCATACTGGTTGGTGCGGGTTGGTGAAGAGGATGCCTAGGATCGGTTCAGATATGATTCGCCATTGATATTAGCCATGCATAGGAATCGAACTCTGAAAATGTAGTTTATAGCACAGCGCACTACTCACTGCACCATCACTCCACCCATGTGCAAATATACAGCATATATATAAAGTTAATAATATTGGTCGCTTTCGCGACCAATATTATCCAGAATAAAGTTTTTTGGGTTAGATTGCGTAAATAAAAATGCGTCGTTAAACCCGCCACCACCCGACAGCCAATTATTAAGGTTTGTCGCGTAAACAAAACGTGCCAATTCGTTGCTAGTTCAGCACACCGGTGTGTTGCAGAGTAAAGCCACTACTTTTACAATTCGAGAACGACGTTTCGCCAGTAATTACAACTAGCATCATCAGGCGGACAGCCAGAGATGTGGAGAAATCCTTCTGCTTCGGTCTTAAATAGAGGGATAAATGTTACGTCGTCACTTGGGAGCCAAGTAACGACATACATTACAATGACTATCCATTACTGTAATGGATATCCCTCCATTTAACACCGAAACAGGAGGATTTCTCCACAACTCTGGTTGTGCGCCTGATGATGGTAATTGTAATTACTGACGAAACGTCGTACTCGAATTGTGAATGTTATGGGTTTACTCTCCAACACACCGGGGTGCTGAACTAGCAACGAATTGGCACGTTTTGTTTACGTGACAAACCTTACTAATTGGCTGTGTGGGGTGGTGGTGGGTTTAACGACACCTTTGTATTTACGTGATCTAAACCCGCGGTAAAATGTATCGCGC